CAGAGACAAGACAGAAGGACTTGCAAAAGTCCAGAGTTCAAATCTCCTTTTTGGCACCTGTGGAATCATCACGCCTGGCCATCTGAATGGCATGGTGCCAATCGTGACACTAAAGTGGCAACCACAAGATATTCACCACTGCTGCTACTGACACTGGATTGTTTTATGAATGTCATGATCATTGTCTCATCTCCAGGGAAATCATACATACGCATTGTTGTCAAACAGCCCAGTCAGTGTAAGATTCTGCAGTCAACAAGCAAATATTTCAGTGTGTCAGGCCAGGCCTAAAGAGCATTGAAAGCACAGGCCACCAAATTATGTTAAAACTACATGGTGCCAAGCTACCTATGCACAATTCATTTCTACTGGTTTACTCCTATAGTTATCTGAACACAACTCCCACTATTTTATTTGATTTAGCAGTTTTCTAGGAGCAAGCAGAAGATGGCTATTGGATCATAATTACTGGACTTTGTGTTAATTTAGAAAATGAATGTTAACCTAAGGAAACTAAATTCTAGACCAGGGGTAGGCAACTTGTTAGCAGCACTGTGCTGATAGAGAATGGTGATGTCCTGTAGCATGCTGGTCCTATTTTTTTAAATTGAGTTGTGTATGCTCCCGTATTCTGCTTTTGTTATTTTTATTGCAGTTGCTTTGTATCGTTGAATTTGTGAGTGTATAAGCTATTATATTGCATATGTTCATTAGTAGTTTATGGTATTGTGTATGATACATATGAATGTGGGCTGCGTATGAGGGTTGCTTGTAGAACTGTGTGTGGATGCATATGTCACATTGTGTGTTTGGTAGTGTGTGGGGGCTGTTTGGGGTATTGCATGTGAGAGGCTGCATGTGGGGTTGTGTGCATGTATGTGGATTTTTAGTGGGTTACGTTTGTGTGGATTGTGTGTATGTTTGTGTGTGGGCTGTTCATATTATTTGTATGAGGGGAGGGTTATTCTGCTTTTCTGTGTATATCTTGCAGTGTGTGTGGCTTCCCTGGGTTCCAGTGGGGACCAGGCTGGCCAGATACAGATCAAGGACAGGAGCTGCAACAGCAGCTGCTGGCTGCTCTACTACAGTGTGGATTCCCATTTACAAGTGCTGGGATCACTTCATCTATGTACTGCAATGCTTAAATTGAGGATTGTCCTTCACCACCTCTTCGTATTAGCAGATATCTGAAGTTTTACTGGGACTCCTGATAGGCCAGAGACTGTTTGGCTCTAGCAGCCTGGAGTGCTGTGCAAATACACCTTGAGTGCTGTGCATGGCACTAGTGCCGTAGGTTTCCTACCCCTGTTCTAGACCAACAGTTCAAGTGAATACAATCCATACCATTAACATTTAGCACTGCTGGAGTATAATATATACTTTTTTTCATGTCTGATATGATAATAAAATGCACCTTTATGTTCCATTCTATCTACCAATTTCTAAACCCATGTATTTATGTAAATGCTTTTCACCACTATTATGTGTTATTTACCCTAAAGGTTCATTTCAGGAATATTGCTATTATTTCATTTGCATGATTAACAGGTCACATATTTAAATCCTGGAAAAAAATCTACTGTGCATATTTGTTCCAAATTAAATTTGCAAGAATACAAAATGTCATGGGTGATGTAGATTGAAAATGTCAAGTTAGATTTTTCCTTTTTTTTCTTTTTAATTTTTCCTAAACTTTGGCATAAAACAGTACTTTTCTAAATATTTCATTATAAGGAAAGAATATATTAGCAACCTGTTTGATGCTGGGCTTAAATCTTTATTCATGAAAGGACTTCCATTTGCTGTAATCATTTCAATACCCAAACTATTGAGTTTGACAGGTACTCATTAAAATTGGCCTTGCAGAATTCTAAATACAAACTATAGGTGTTAGTGCATCAGTCTTTGCCGGTTTTCATTTACATTGTTTATACCGGAAAACTATTTTGCATTCAGCTTATTTGAATAGCAAGTACTTAAAAAACTTGAAAAAGTAAAATATTTCTATAAAGTACTTTTAAAATTATAATTATTGTTTTTTGTTGTGAATTTTAAGCTGATTCAAAGCTTTCTCTATATCTGGAGTGGCTGGCAGAAAACACTACAGAATATTGTGCATACTGAAATTCCACTTAAACTGCTCATATTATAGTACTTTTGTGTTGAGTCAAACTTTGAAATATACGCTTTTTGATAATACTCAAAAGCTAGGTGTTTTTTTTTTTATTTTTGAAAAACAAATTCATAGATAGACATAGAAAACCCATAGGAACAAGTGAAGAATGTGTACTGTTAAAAGCAATCTACTACTACTATCATTATTTTAATTTATTTTTAAAATGCAGACATTGAAAATCAGTGCCCTCAAGAGGAAAAAAAGGTTTACACATTAATGCTTTACAGGTACAATAATAATGTGCTTTACGATGTAGTGTAGTCTGGCTGCAGAACCAATAGGGAATAGAAAACGACAAGTGATTATGGGTGCGAAACTAGAAATATCAAAGAACAGATATACATTAAAAAAAAATCATGGTCACTGTGTTACAATACTATATAAAGATACAACTATTTCCACTGTCATGTAGTTGTGATCTCTAGATTACATGGGACTTATATGGTTAGTATATGGTTCGCAGAAAAGATAGGCAATTTTATATGGTAAACTAACAAAAAATACTGTATAGCAAAAAGGGAATAGTTGGAAAAATATGGGTAAGTTTTGATGGAAAGATTTACTATTAATTTGTGATGGTTCGTCAGTTTGAACGACTTATTGAATAAGCTGAAATTCTCCCAGAAGAGAGATGTTTTCACAGAGTGATAAAAGCGTTGAAGCCTAAAACTAGATTTTGATAGAATGAGATACAGATTTCCCTGAGGCACACTAGTGAGGTTTTATTATTTTTTTTCCAGTCTGACAGAGATCTATTAAAATATTGGCAAAATTGGAATATTTGTGTGTTCCTGTATGCAGGTTACATTTTTCTTCATGTTGATGTTATAGTACAAATGGAGAAAGTTGAGTGCATTATACTGGAAGTGTCCCTTTTTTTTTTTTTCCATCAAACAAACCATAAATATAATCAAAGTTAATTTATGTGCCTTGTGAGTTGAATTCTGAGCATAACTCAGTTTGGTCAGCATATTGATTTTTTGTAAATTAAGATTTTGCACTCTGACAGAAAAAAAAGTGAAATGTATTCTTTATTCTCTAGCAAACATAAGCATCATAAGCTGTATGTGTATAAGCATGTATGTATGTATACACACAGCTTATGATTATATACAATATACAATTATATGCAAGATACAATATATGCAATATAATTATTATTTAGGATGCATACATATTGTACAAAATCATGTACTCTAGAATCTCAGACTGTTCATGCCAAATCCAGAAGTTCAAAAATATAGCTTTGACAATTTTTAATACCTAAATCAAAATTAAGCATGGCTTTTTTTTAAAAGACCCTAGAGTGCTATCTTTCTTAACTTTATCTTTGAATTTATGTATCAGCTGAGGTTTCACCATGGCATTTAACAGACTAGTAGATATCAAGTGCAAATTCCTTGTTAATACATATGTTAAGGATATAAACGTGTAGTTGTGGGAGGGGTTAATCTGACCTTAAAACCACTCAGTGGCTCATACCTTTGGATTGTGGGTGTCTGGGACATAATGTTACTCTGGGTCATAGCATGCTGTGTCAGGTGGTGAGTAGGGAAGGCTTGTACCACCACTATTTCCCCTGGTGTTTTCTTATTATTTACAAATCAAGTGAAGTGACTAATAGAGAAGAAAAGGGACCTATAGGAAGACTATACTTTCAAGCAGGATTCTTCAAGATATTTTGACCTCAGTGATCATTCTTGTGTGTTTATCATTGATGTGCCCGTGTAGGAATGTTAAATTGCTTGGGGCATTTATTATAGTGGGAGACAAAGTTTAGTTGTATGCTGCATCCAGTTAACAGCTTCTGTCAATAGCGCTAGAAAATAAACTTTGAGTTGGAAATAGCTATTTTTGTTAGCTGTCTAGAGGAAAGCAATTCCTTCTTTTGGGGAGTGTGGTGTTAGGAAAAAATATAATTTTGCTTAGCCTGGTTCATTGATTCTAGTGTGGGTCTAGGTTTAGCAGTTTATGCTCTATCTAGTTACTAGCTACTGACATAAGTACTTGCAAGATTAAAGAATGAGACATTTTGTCATTGAGTCTAGTGTTAGACTACCTTACCAATATACAGTTGTTCAGCATGGTTTTATATATTTTATTTTTTTAAACTGTTTATTCATCCTTGCTTAGCTGCTACTGTCAGTGCCACTTTGATTCCCTGATGTAGAACACTTAAAAAAAAAAATCTATTAAGAGATGTCTTTTTTGTGCCACTGTTTGAAATTGCAAGAATCCTCTTGAAGTAATAGACAGCGTGTTCTGCAGTTCACTGCAAAAGTAACCCTACTTACACAGCGTGGCAGGTATTTTTTTTAACTCTTTGTAGAATTTTTTTTTATTTTAAATAGTGGTGGTGCTTGTGTTATTCCCTTGTTCACCCATGTTAAAATAAATAAATATATAAATAAATCTGTACATAAACTTAATTTTCTCATGCTGCTTCTACAAATGCACATTTTTTTTCAAATGCATTACATGCATGCATTTTGTAAGGCCTTACTGTCTGCATGGGACTGAGCCCATGACAAATTTCGACTTTTCACTACTCTTTCCAAAGTGACTCAAAATATATATTCAAGAGGAAATATCATGTACTTGAGTGAGATAGCGAGCTAAGGTCTGGTTATGGTAACTGACAGCATTCAAGGTATATGTAGTGTGAAACCTGTGATCTAAACTTTGCTGGATGTGTATATACATACACATTTACCATGTTAGATAGCCACTGGGTACTCGACTCCACTGGGAGGTAAATGATAGAGTGTATGGAAAGTCCCGCAATGGTGTTACAGAGACTCTATGGGGGCTGGGTGTCCAGACTTCAACCGACACCGCAGGTATGCCGCAGGAGACCGTTCATCGTTCCTCCAGGTAAAAAGCTATCAGTAGCACCTTGGTGGAGACAGGTAGCATGCTGCGACTTGTAAGCAAGGTATGGTCTGCCGCTTTTACCTCTATCCGGCTCCCGGAGCCTAGGACAGACCTTCGTCGCATTAGCAGGATTCCTCCCTCTCTGGTCAGTTGGATTGCAAGCCTGAGGGGGCTCCGGGTTATGGGTGGGGTTACGGGCTGCGTAGCCGGCTAGCAGGTATGACTTCCGTGCGGGTCCCCTGCCCAGGATGGTGTTGATAATCTGGTTTAGGAGCATGGGTTACCGGTTCTGCAGACAGAGTGGTTATGGGGGTTCTGCAACAGATGCGCTCCCAGAAAGTTTGAAACACCTTGTGAAATCTGGCCTCAAAGCCTGCTTTCCAGACTTAGATTGTTGAGCCCTCTGAGTGTGGTGTATGTTCAGGCTTGGCAGTCACCTTGGACTCGCCATGTGGTGATCATCGAGGCTGTAGATACCGCTCGTGCAGGTAAGGTTTCCCCAATGGGAACTGGAATATCCCCCACCGGCAAAATATATATTTTTTTGGAGTACAATACAAGATTTATTATATTCAATTATGGTGGTTAATGCACATTACACAACTCTACTTTGAAATTTAACAACATGACAGGAGGCTTCATATTTTGTATAATCTCTCTTTACTAGATCCACACAGCAGCAAAGAAACACATTGAAAAAAGAACCAATCACAAAAGAGTAGGGTGCACATAAGGCATAGTGACCTCATCACTTCCCCTTTCTTTGCTGTTCCTTCAAGCAGACAGATCAGAGTATTACTCTTCAACATTAATTTATGTTTATATTCCCTCTTTTGAGGTTGTTTCTGTATTATTTTGTAATATACTTTGCTGTTTGTTCTCACTGTGCTTCTGTACTATGTGCATCTATGTTATTTATTGTGTTTCTATCTTATTCTTGGTTTCTGCCCTCTCCCCTCCTTGTTCTCACCTCTCTGTGGCTTGAGGGGCTTTTGGATTTTACTGGGGTTGCATGTTTATGTTGAATTAGGCCATTTACATAAATTGTTTAAAGGGATTTCACCCATAACCTTGGATTAACTATTAGAGCATGGATTAGTGCTCTCTGTCAGGACTGTGACCTGCAATCAAGGGGTGTACCCCTACTATATTTTTACTGCACTGTGCTACTGAATGGAGACATGCTGTTACAGCCTCTGTTAACTGCTGAACAGGATTTTTAGGTCATACTGTTTAAGGACTATCTCCCATTCTGCATAACTTTGAATTAACTGTTGGAGCACAGATTAGTGCTCCCTGTCAGAGCTGTGGCCAGCACTGAAGGGTTCATACCCTGTGAATCTGGAGTGAGGCCCCTACTATGTATTTTAAAACACTGTGCTACTGAATGGAGACATGTGCTGCAGCCTCTGTTAACTGCTGGACAGGATTTCCTGGACATACTGCTTAAAGGAATGTCTCCCATAACCTTGAATTAACTGTTTGTGCACAGATTAGTGCTCTCTGTCAGAGCTGTGGCTATCACGTAACGGTTCATACCCTGTGCACCTGGGGTGAGGCTCCTACTATATTTATACTACACTGTGCTACTGTATGGAGACATGCTGCTACAGCCTCTGTTAACTGCTGGACATGATTTCCAGGCCATACTGCCTAAAGGAATATCTCCCATGATGTGCATTAATCATAGGAAGAGCTGAGGGAAGCTCTCTGTCAGGATCAGGCAGATGGACAGCACTTAAGGTTCATACCCTGTGCACCCGGGGTGAGGCCCCAACTAAATGTGCACTGCATTACTGAATGGGGACATGTTATGACAGACACTGTTAACTGCCAGACAGGAGTTTCAGCGCTCTCTGCTTAAAGGAATATCTCCCTCGACAACTAATTTAATTGTTGGAAAACTGATTGTTGTGCTCTATCGGAGATGTAGCCAGCACTTAAGGGCTCATACCCTGTGCACCCGGGGTTAGGCCCCTACTATGGATGTGCTGCACTGGAATGCTGAATTGAGGCATGCTGTTGCAGCCTCGACTAACTGCTGAAAAAGATTTCAGCACTGCCTGCTTAAAGTCATATCTTCCTTGACAGTGAATTAATGGTGGGAGAACTGATTGATGCTCTCTATCACGGCTGTGGCCAGCACTTAAGGGTTCATACCCTGTGCTCCTAGGGTGAGGACCCACTATATTTTGTGCTGCACTGTCCTGCTGAGAAGAGGCATGCTGTTGCAACCTCTATTTACTGGGTGAGCCCCAGTCTATTTTATTTCACCACGATTCAGAGTACAACCTGCAGGGGTTTCTGTGAGCACTGCCTACTACTATGGTAAGCTGATCTGTTTGCCCTGCATCCTGTGCCTGCCTACTGGTTTATGCCTTACACAGGGGTATCCCACACTATGATAAACCTACCTGCCTATTTCTTTCTGGGGGAAACCATAGGTACTCGCACGCTAATGACCGAGAAAACACAGAAACGACCCTGGACCCTACTGGTCACTGGCTGTGTCACCTACACATTCATCACTCACATTCGAGAGGCTGATCCCCTCTCAGTCACCTGGATACTTTATGCACCTGTGGCTTTGTAGCCTCTAGATAAAGATTTCCATAACTGCTTGTGGTCGGACAACCCATGCCCTTCCCTCCCGGACAGTGCAGCACAGACGACTGTGCTTGACCAGTGGATGATGTCCGTCATGGTTCTGGGTGACCGTGACTCCGCAGGGGAGTCAGGAAAAGTCTCAGAGACACCCAAGACTAACTGCTGGACTCTATCAACCCTATCACGAGTATGATGCCAGATGTCGCCAACACCAACTCGGGAATGGGCTCACGATATTCGTGAATGAGCTCAGAGATGTTTCAGTTTTCATCAGAAACACCAGTGTTCGCCTCTCCTATGGGACACGCATAGCAGCACTCCTCCATATTGACGGATGATTGGCGGATCTGGGCGCCAAATCATTGGGACCTCAGGCACAAGGCACATCAATTACTGAGGGAACTTATTACACACGTTTATGGCCCCGCTGCCCTCATCAAGACCCAAACCTCCAGGGGAAAGGTGTTATGTGGTTACCTCCGTAAGGGGTATTCTTTGGGACCGGTCGACAGCGGGGCTTGTCACAAAACCACTTCGGGACATCTGACTCGGACCCCCGCTATTGCTAACTCTTTTACCCATATAGAGTTAGAGTCAACCTCTGGTGCTCCAGATCATCGGACAAAGAACACAGAATGCACAGATGGCAAAGGTACCATTTTCCTCAGGGGAGCGCCCCTAGGGCACCAGGTACCATTTTCCTCAGGGGAGCGCCCCTACACCCATAGGAGATTCCATCACATCTAGGTGGAAGGCATGCAAACCTAATAAGGACCCCTTTCGCGTAGACGACTGGCTTGCAAAACTGGATTTGAAGACACGTCATGGTGGTAATTTTTTCCATCCCTCTTGACAAAAATATCTAGGTTCCTGTGACATGATCAACCTCTGCTCTTCACCTGATTCTTCAGCTCCTCCTCCTCCTTCTACATTCATATCCTACTATTTCTCACGGGCCTGAAGGGAACACACATCTTCCATTCCTGGATGGTCGGCTGCCCTGGTGGCCTGGACTCTTTTTGGGGTTCTTGGCAGATCGGCGGACTATCGCAGGCAGCTGGGGACCTCTTGGATCTCACTGGCTGCTCACTGTTTAGTAGACATGCCCCTACTCGCGGTATAGCGAGTAGGGGCACAATTTACTAATACTAAGTAATTTTTACTTAGTATTAGTAAATTTGTCTGAAAGACCAATTTAGGTCTTTCAGCCTTTTGGTAGATAACTCCCTAATACCATGGGAATTAGGGAGTTATCTACCAAGCGGCTGCAAGAGACGTTACGAAATTCTGAAGTCCCGAAGTGCTGAAGTGTCGAAGTTCCGAAGTGCCGAAGTTCCAAATTGCCGAATTGCCGAGATCCCGAAGTTCTGAAATTACCGAATTTTCCGAAGTGTCGAAGTGCCAAAGTGTCGAAGTGCCAAAGTGTCAAAGTCCCAAATTTCGGAATGCTGAACCGAACCGAAATTTTTTCCCATGTACATGCTTACCAGTGTTTAAATGTTGACCTTTGATTAGCTATTGAATGTGTTTTATTTTTATTGTGTCTATTTAACATGTTTATTCTTT